ACAAACCACTATATTGGGCCTATAATGTTTACTAGATCTAGACCAAGGCCTTGCCTGTTGCATATATTGCCAATCTTGCACACCAGTTAACATGTTACATCAATCTCGTATTTTCTTTTTGTTGAACATACAAAAACTTGTACGTTGTATACTAGGACTTGTATTTGATCTACAGATGAATGATGGAACAGTGTAATTTACTTTTGTACGTCAATTCGGTCTCACTGTATTTCAGTGGGCGGCTTTTAAAAGTTAAAACTGCAAGCGTAATACACACAAATAACGTAACACTGTGTCGTATTTACTTAAAGTAGGGCAGTTTTTTTAATTTGTTGGTCCAGTATTTGCTGCATGTGTGTTCTTTGTTACCCCCCCCCCCCATCAGTTTCTTTTTCTTCGGTGCTTTGGAACGGCTTATTTTTTTTAAAGATATTTTTAATACGATTTTTATAAATATAATACAAAATCACTATTGCATTACCTACAACTGTAATACTTCAAGCTTGTGCAACCTATGTTTTGCAATCTTATGTATAATAAACAGGAAATCACACTTACCTAAACAAACTTGTCGTGTTGTTTACTCTAGTACTGGCGAACAGTTTATTTGCTACTTGAACGGGCATTCTTCTCAATGTTACGAAGATGACTTTTACGTTTACCGAATGAAATTTTCCATAAACAGCCCCCACAACAGAGACGTAAACCTGTCTGCCTTGAAAATCCCCCTCCAATTGCTGTAACTACGATCACGTCATCTAAAATTCCCAATGAGACGCTCGGTTACTTGAATAGTTTCCAGGTGATGAAATGATTTATATTTGCAGTTTAAGGGACGGACGTCAAGGTCATAGAATGTGACATATATCATGTCTTGGACCTGCTCTTACCTTTCTAAACGTGTGGGGATTTCCTGTCCAACATTGTATTATGTTTCTATGTTGCCTCTACGTCATGTCTGAGAAGTATTTCGCGAAATGAATTCGTATTTTTACAAGTTAATATGATGCGAACATTTCAATATCTAAAATAAGAATATAAAATTATCACGCCCTTACCCGCAATTTTTCATACAAACCGTCTTTCAAACATTACTTTTGTTCCTTAGTTTAAAATAATATCACTGCTCAAACAATGTGTATAAAGTTTAATTTTTTTTTTCCGGATTTAGAGAGCAAACGTTTTGTTGTTGTTTACTCTCCAATTTCACGACGTTTTACCAGATTAGCTTACCTTTATAACGCAATTTACATGAAATAATCAGTTCTCAAATAATCAACATTAATTCGGCGAAATATCGAACAGTAAAAGTATTGTTGACAATTATTAATAACAGTGTTCAGTTTCACACAATCCACACCTGAGAAAAAACTGACGGAACACAAATCACTTGAAATATCGGTGTAGAGGGGTATGTTGTTCGCGCAGCGCCCTCTAAATATATATATATATATATATATATATATTTAATCAAATTACATATTAATGTATTTTTATGCTTATAATATATTTTAGGTACAAACCTCTCCACTAAGATATTATATAGAATAGATATGGTATCTTCTATAATTCTTCTTCAATGTGAAATGATAGTATCTAAATCTAATACATAGGAAAATATTTCATAATAAGTTAGGGTCGTACAAAAAGTGTTAAATATTTTAGTAAAATCATGATTTTTTCACGGAGCACCTATCGATTTCGGATGGAACACCAGTGTTCCGCGGGGCAGCTTGGGAAATACTGGACTAGAGGGAAAGCAGCTAGTCAACACCATCCACCGCTAACTCTTTGACTACTCTTTTACAAACGACTAATGGAATTGACCATAACATTATAACGCCATCACGGCTTAAATAGCAAGCGTGTTCGATGACGAGGATTCGAACCCGCGACCCTCAGATTGCGAGTCGAGCACCTCAACAACCAAGTCATGCTTAGTACGACGAGGTTTTGGGTTGAGGTTTCTAATAAACTATAAAACCTAAAAATATCCTATGAAAACCGCGTTATCTGGAATAATCTTTCCAATAGCACTAAGAACAGCTAAATACATTAAAAAATACACAAGTTGGAGTAGTTAAATGAGATTTATTTCACACACACATTTTGTGTGACTAGAGAGCTAAAAAGAGAGAAGTCCGTTTGTTCCCATGAACGACACCTTATGCACACAACAGGATAAACAATTCTGTCAAAGACCCCCTATAGTTCAAGTATAGCAGTCTTGTAAACAAGACAACCAGTTTGCAACATTTGCCACTTGGAGCTACTGCTTTTAACCAGGTGGCGGTTAATAAACTCAAGCTGAATCATGCCTGAAGCATATTTGTAAGCACCACATCTCGAACGGGTGACTCTTCAAAACTGTTAGTATTAGATGTTCCCATTTTAATATGTGAATCAGTATAAGATTTCTACAGTACCAGAATAAACGTTTCTTAATGTGCACCAAACATTTACAAAGAAGCCTCTCTATTTTGATAATCGGTAAAAAGGAGAAACGTTTGGATATACAAGTACCACATATTTTAAGAGTTAGTGTAAGATAAACACACATTAATTGAGCATAAGTTTTTTAGATAATGCATTACAAGTCTTAAGTTAGTCCTAGCTATAACGTATTTGTTTTTATCAATCGTAAATTTATGCGACATGACTCCTGTTAGAAATAATGGGTTAGTAATATCGGTATCGGATTTAATATTTTCTTCTACTCAAATAATAAATCTTTGTCTTATATTTTCATGGGTTCTTCATTTAGTGCCTGAGCATTTGTAATTGCAATAATATTTTTGATAACTTTATACTGTATTAGGAGCTTTACAGTATAAAAAAAAATTCCCATTTACATTATTGTACGTACGACAAAAATGTGAAAAACCTTTTTTTCCGAGTTTTTTGAACCTACATGTTTCACTAACGTCATGAAAGTGTTATATGTATGTTGTGTTTAGTTCTCTTTTAATTATCACAATGAACCTGTATTTACATAAGATATGAAGGATGCGTAGCAGAAATGCTACAAATTTGTTCTTCTGAATTAATCAATGGGCAAACTGTTAACAGCTACTAAAAACCAATATGAAACCCAATCTAACATTCACCACTACGAAACCTAGTCTGTTGTTGTTGTTGTTTTTCAATTTTCTCTAATTCAGGGTTACTGATGAGGGGCGAAATCCTTCAAAATCGGTTAAACACAATGAGAAGTGGTGAACAGAATTGCAGATTGAGTTTCATATTTATTTTTAGTATCTTTTAACAGCTTATGTGCTGAATGATTCAGATGAACAAAGTAGCAGGATCAATGTCATATATAAATACTGGTTCACTGTGGTGACTAAAAGACAGTTACGATACACCATACACATAAAAAAACATATAGTTCACCACTATAGGAAGTCTAGTCTTTTTTTATTTATTTACTATTATCATTCACCTTTATAGAGGGCTACTGACCAGGGGAGTAGAGTTTCACCAAAACAGATATAACTCAGTCACATGTGGTAAACAGAATCACAGATTGGGCTTCATATCTATTTTTAGTAACATTAATGTATGTTTTAAAACTGCTATATCTCATCATTAACATTGGTCAAAGCAAAAACTTACCAATGATATAATGAAAATTATGATTTTTCAAATAAATAACATGTATAAAATACAAATAACAAAGCAACAGATCGAAAATGTATTTCCAATAATATTCACACTATAGCTATTACTCGATTGCCAGTGTTTCTTACTTTGCCCATCTAAGAATTGGTCAGATTTTTTCTCACTTGCTCCAGTCTTTTACACCCCACTTAATTGCCCTTGACAATATCTGTGTCGTGAGACTCTCCACCTACGTCAATGAGCCCTCTATCCTGGTACTGTATAAAATCAACTCATTCAGATAGTTATCACTTTTTCGAGATAGCCCGAATCCAATCCGCAGTCTCTAACACTGGCTCTTAGTGGGGAGGAAGGGTAGGAGAGTGTGAATGGAGGTATTATTGAAAATACGTTTTCGATTTAAGAAAATGTTAACTTACAAAACATACTTACCTCTTCTCACACTACAGCTAGAATCCCACATTGATAAGGGGGAGGGGCCAGTGAGGGCATTATCCATACAGAAAGTGTCTGCATATATCATGGGTGTGTCAATAGAAGATTGGCACCCTAGTGGGGTAACTGGACTACATTCACAACAGGTATGCTGTTCGCCCAGAACTTAATCCATGTACTGTGAGTGGAATTTTACATGATTTATCATCACTACTGGCCAGGCCCCACCCAGATAGCCGAGGTTCCACTGCTGGGGGTTGCAATTAGACGACCATGATCCCTATATCCCACATTGGTGGTGAGGGTATTTGGACAGAAATATTTTACATACCTATGAGTGGATCCCCACCTGTAGCCATAAAGTGATGAATTCCAAGCCGCTGGAATATCGACAAGAAAGTGAGCAACACCAAGTGGACAAACCTGAAATCCGAAATGCAACACCACAAACTCGGAATGACGGGATCTTGTATGACTTACTCAACCTGAGGAAACAGAACTCATCCAGTCAGAAATTATAAACACTCATCTTCACTCCCCAACTCCTCGTGGGTAAATTCCACTTGCCCCTGGGATTATGGGGAGGACATGGAACAAACTGTGCTCAACCAAGAACCCAGGATGGGACTACTCTGCATTCAAAATCATGAGGAGACAATTGACCCTCTTTTATGAACAATGTACTTAACCAATATTGATCAAAAAGAAGGGCCACACTCAACCCACCCTAGTAGCTAAACTTCAAATCTGAATTGGTATTAAGAGTAGGCTCCTGCATAGGCTAGTGCCTCTCCTACTGACATCTGGGAAAAACATCAGGGACCCTGTTAGAAGTTGTAGAGTGAGAGGAAGCAAGTCTATTTTGGAAATGTTGCTTCATAAAAGAACTATGATAGTAAGTCAATTAAATAAACAAGTTCTGAATTGTACACATAAAACAAAAATATGTATTAACTACAGATCTTTCTTATATATTCATTAAAACACTTGAGGAGTTGTTCTTGCTTCAACAACTACTCTTCTTGTTGTGTGGAGAAGAAATCCACTGTATACTTTAAATAAAAGTCCAAGAGTGGAGGAAATTCACTCCAACACTCTGAAGGAAAACCCTCTGTCTACCACCCCGATTGTTGTGCGACACTAGATATCAGAGGTGGGATAGGAAAGATCTGATTTGCCTCTGTATCTCCAACAATCATAGTACCGAGAAACCCACTAGTGAATGATCTGTCGAGAAAAAGTGATAACATTATCTGTATGAGGTGCTTTTATTCAGTACCAGGATAGAAGGTGCATTGACGTAGGTGGAGAGTGTCACGAGACAAATATTGCCAAGGGCAACTAAGTGGGGGTATAAAAGACTGGAACAAGCGACAAAAGAATCAAAACAATGCTTAGATGGTCAAAGGAAGAAACCCTGGCAATCGATTAATAGCTGTAGAGTGAAAGGAGGTAAGTGTTTTGGAAATGTTGTTTCATAAAAGAAATATAATAGTAATGTGAAGAAATAATGTCTTGAATTGTACACATAAAACAAAAATATGTATTAATTCCAGATCTTTCTTATATTCATTAAAACACAACATAAATTTTCAATTTATCCAACAACATAAAGATGGTGCTGTTCTTGTTTCAACAACTACTAACAGTTGTAGTGTGGGAGGAACAAAGTCTATTTTGGAAATGTTGCTTCATAAAAGATCTATGACAGTAACTCAATTAAATAAACAAGTTATGAATTGTACATATAAAACACTTGAGGAGTTGTTCTTGCTTCAACAACTACTCTTCTTGTTGTGTGGAGAAGAAATCCACTGTATACTTTAAATAAAAGTCCAGTTACAGCTTCTGAGGGGATTGTTTTTTTCTTTCTTTTTTGTTTTTAACTTTATTACAATGTTTCAACCATTCGTATGGCCATCATCAGGTAACTGTCATCTATTGTGCAAGCAACATTTCATACAATAGATGAAAGTTACCTGATGATGGTCACGTAATTGGTTGAAACATTGTAATAAAGTTAAACAATAGACAAATAAATGATCCACTCAAAAGTTGTATCTCTGGGCTTTTATCTAAACTACTTTTCAATTTATCCAAACCAGTATAAATATATTTTTTTCCATCGTACAATCCTGTCACTGTATCATAACACTAATGAGTATGTAGTATAGTCAAATCTCTCACGTTATTCATTTGTTTTTAAAGAAATGTGCTTTCAACAATAATAATAAACATGTTATATCAAAGTGAAAAAACATATTTTTCATTCCAACCACTTTAATGGAAAAAGTTAATTTCTAAGTCCCAGGTTCAGTTCTGTTTATCAAATTTGTTGGAATTCCTAATTCACGAAGTTGACAAACAGGTAAAGATTTCAGATGTGGAAAATAAAAATTTAAGGCTGTCCAGCATATCTCTAGTAGAGAAGGAATAGTTAGCCATAATGAATGTATTTCATTTGTTCTCTTCAAAGCCGTGATATTCAAGACATTATGCACAATCTTAGTTGTAATTTTCGTGACACCACCAAACACCAAAAGTTGTCCATTCTGAAAAGTAACCAAACAAAGTCAATTACACAATAGTTTTGAATCATTAGTCAACATTCTATTAACAACATGATCCTGAAACACAATTATAGTTTCAAGAACTTTGCTGTTTCTTTAAGTTATGATTATAAAGTCTACTTTTAAACACTTTTTAGCAATTCATAATAAAACATTTGAAGGATTAAAAACACTAACAGTGTTGAAAATCAAGTCTAAGTTTTTAAGACATACACATATGAGCACTAAAAAGTTGAAATTTCTTTCATTAGAAATAAATACTATAGAACCATCTTCAAAATTAATAAATCTTACTATAAAATCATAACTACAATAAACTGGTCATACAGGAACATTTCACAGTTGATCTAACATGCTTAATTCTGTGCCTCTTAAGTTAAGAATGAATAGATCTACTAATTTCTAGAATTTTCTTAACATTCATATCACCTTACAAAAACAAATTAGTTTTTTTTCAGAATCATACAGCACATTATATGAGAGTAGTTACTTCGTTGGTGATTTTACAAAAAAAATAAAAATAAAAAGTGTATGATTAATCTGTACAAGGGTGATAAGATTTTGAGATCTCGAAGAACATATAACGATTATTGATAGAAACCTTATGTAACCAGGACGAGACACACAACACTAGCCTACTATTAAAAATGTAAAATCTATCTTAAATGAATAATATTAATAACTTATTACAAAATTTACATGTGAAGCAAGAATTTCATTTTTAGTGAACCCAACTCCCCATCAACATTCATTCAGAAAATCAAGTTTTTTCACCAATGTTTTCAAAATGGACAGGAATTGGATTATTTTGTCATGTTTATGAAACATTTTTTACCAAATCAATAAATATAATCAAATATTTTTTAAATCTGACTATGAAATAATGTATGTTTCAAAAGAAAAAAATCTAATATTTATTGTTTAATTTTCTTTTGTTAGTTTTAATGTTAAACTACATTTAATGGAGACTCATTTTTAGTAAAAAAAATTATAAAACTTCTTTTATATTAAATTGTATTCCATTGTCCATTTTGTTTAATTTTCTGCTGTTTAATTTTCAGTCAAAGATTTAGTAAAATTAAGTCACATATTATAAGAGACCTGTAAATTCGAAAATTAATTAACAGCACTTTATAATGAACTTATCTAAAAGCACAATACCCTAAGAATTAAGGCACAAGTCATGCACACATTTATTTGGCTCAAAGTTTTCACATATTTTCATTTGAATTATAAATAATTATTTCCTCTTATTTTTCAAATAAAAATCTTCCAATGCTTAAGTTACACACATTTTCCAACTCAAAGTTTTTACATATTCTTATTTTAATCATAAATACTTTGATTCTTCTTGTCTTGCAAATAAACATCTAACAGTTACGTGTTTGATTAAAAGAAAAGGGGGGGGGGGGTTGCCAAGTTAATCTTATGAAATTTGATGGTCACATTTTATCAATACTTACACTTAATAAAAGACAGTACATAAATAAATTAAGTGATCTTTACTGTTTTCAATAGTTTTCTAAAACTTAAAACTGAGATAATTTATCCTGAGTACTAAAGGTTATGGTTAAAGCAGTTCAGAGAGAGAGATTCTGTGTTACTATACATTTTTAAACACAAGTCAGGAAAAATAAATGAAGATATTATTGTAAAATGTTTTATCACTGGATATTTTCTTTCAGATTATTTCTTAAAAATAATGCAAAAACTAGTTCATTCTTTGATAACGAATTAATTTATTTCTTCAATACATTTACTGGTCGGCCTAACTTTAAAAACAACATTTCAACAGAAATTCTGGAACCAATGTATGCCTAAATAACTTTCAAAAGTTTCTTTGCTAACTGATCAATAATAAACATGCCGACTATCTAGACCACTGGTGAACAGACTCACTAACTCTCACTAAAACTCTTTAACTAACACTAAACTGATTAATTAATTCAATCCAGTCTGGCATTTCTATGTTGTATTAGTTTTCTACATACTACAGGAATCTTGAAGATTTTACAAAGACCTAAACTTTCATGAAACTTCCAGATATCACACAATCAATAAGTTCACGTAAAACAAAAAAAAACTCCCTTTAGTGAAAAAAAAATGATAAACATTAAAATACAGTTTACAACAATATGCAACATTGATTTACAAGTAAAATAAAAAATAAAACTTATAAACTTTCCAACCAAAACGTTAAGGATTTACTGGTAATAAGCAACAAAAACAATGCTTAAAAATCATAAACTTTCCAACCAAAACGTTAAGGATTTACTGGTAATAAGCAACACAAACAATGCTTAAAAATCATAAACTTTCCAACCAAAATGTTAAGGATTTACTGGTAATAAGCAACAAAAACAGTGCTTAAAAATCATAAACCTTACAACCAAAACGTTAAGGATTTACTGGTAATAAGCAACAAAAACAGTGCTTAAAAATCATAAACCTTGCAACCAAAATGTTAAGGATTTACTGGTAATAAGCAACAAAAATAATGCTTAAAAATCAAACTTTGCTACCAAAACGTTAAGGATTTACTGGTGATGAGCAACAAATGCTTAAAAAAATTACTCTCCTCCTTTGTGGAAGCATATTATAAATACTGATCCTAGTGTTATTAGTGTATGTGAATGCAAAGCCTCACGTAATGAGATTTTGTTCAGATGAGGACAAGGTTATCACCATAAGCATTGTCACACAGCTGTTTAAGATACCTTGACTTTGTTTTTTGTGTACTAATTAGCCTTTATTGTTGTTTTATTTTTATATCAATTAGATTTGAAGAACTTGTTAAAAAAGCATACATATTTAAAAATGGAGAAGTAATTGCCATTTCTGTACAAACTGAAGTGTCTTGCTCGTCTCTGAGGAAATATCTGTGCTGAACAATCAGTCCTTTGTGACAGTTTTTAACTTTCATTCTTTCTATTGACACTATCTATTATCAGGTACATGTCTTCAGTGAAAATACTGTTATTATTTTATTTGGTAATCATGGTCACTTCATTATGTATATTACTGATGTTAATTGGAAACAAAATTTTGCAGAATTAGAACTTTTATAGTCCACACCACACCATACTGTCACAATTTCTATTTGTTTACACGTCAATCTGTAAATCTAATTAACGAGTTGCTTGCCCTAACATTATGAGAAAACTACATAGTCTTTGAACAAATGAATAACTTAAAAAATTCTACATTAAAATACGAAGGTAGAAAATGCATGGTAAGCATGCATATAACAGGTTCTTGTATTATCACCAATTCCTTGTCTCTAGACAATTATGACATCAATATAAGACAAACTTTATATAATTCTTTCTAAGAATGTTTAGTGATAAATAGCAACAGGAAATTCTACTGTACAGGTATAGATATAGATGTAGTGGGATGGTACTAATAGCAAAACACTAATGTTCATATACATTAAAAATAAATTGATAACAAAATCATACAATAAAGACTATAAAATATTCATACTCTAATTAAAATAACCAAGATAAATGCAATAAAAAACTTGGCTACTGAACATACTGGGAGTGACTACACACAACCATTTCAGCTTTTAAAGCCACACCCATCCCTTACACAAATGATCACTCCACAGAACAGCAGATGGAATTGTTAAATATTTAATCCTAAGAATTAACCAAGAGGTATAAGTGATGATAAAATATGAATTTCATGGGGACTATCAGGAAAAACAAAGTCTGGTTGTTGGTGGTTGTAATATGATTTGGTTGGCCAATAGAAAATAAAATCCTGTTTATTTCTGCTCTTCACACAAAATAATACTATACTGACCTTGTGGTGAGAAAACAGAAAAAGCAGAAACAAATCATGTCTCTACAAAATAAATATCTGCAGACTATTATTGAGAGGAAAAGAAGAAAGCACATATTAAGTGTTTATGTATACAGTGCAATAAACGTGCTGATGAAGAGCCGCAACTAGTAAACAGTTGTGATTTACTTATGTTTATAGTGTAATCATGGGTGATGGGACATAAATATGATAAGTAAATGGCATTCATGTCTATAGCACATGTAGCTACAAGATGGTCACAATGTAATTACGTCTGTGACATTGCAATGATGCATAGAAGTTTAAATAATGCATAGTTGTAATGTATCCACATCTATGTAAATCCCTGCAAGATTTACATAGCACATGGCTGCAATACATCTTTGTCCCAAATATCTTGTAGAAAAATGTATACAGTACATGGATGGCTATGATTGTTCTAGAATTCTGAATAACAGACAGAATTTAATAGAAACTTACTGGAGAGAGAGCAGCAGAATGAAAATATACAGGGGTTGATAGTTTTGTAGGTAATTTCTTCCATTGCAACAAGTCTAGCCTAAGACACCAAAGGTCAGATAGAATAGTATCTATATTGATCCCTCCACAGATGTAAACCTCTGAAATTGAAATCGGTGAAATTCTATTGTTAATGGTGTACATCATTAAGTAAAACATAAGTCTATAAAACACAAGTAGGAAGAAATTAAGTAATATATTTATGTAAATGTTTCTATGAAAAACACATAGTAATTAGTACAACATTAAAAACTTATAAATAGTATGGCTCTGTTACACAAATTTGAATATATTGGTTATTAAACATTTGAACTTTACCCGAATAGTATAAGAGAAACAAAATGTTTTGTGTAATACAAAAATCAAACTGTTAATAATCTAGAAATATAAGAAATGTATTAAATTTTTCAAGAGTAAACAACAACATTGTGAAGTTTGTTAAAACTATCATATAAAACATGTAAATAATATGAATTTTACTTATACGTACCATTTCCTCTCTGTACACAAGCATGACATCTTCTTGGCATAGGATAACCTACAAGATAAACTCGTAAATCATCAAGGGTTCATCGTAAAATGGTGAAATAACAAGAACACATTTTGTTGTTCTTTACAATGAGCTATTAATTTTCTTTTCGTTTATCATGCCTTGAATGAGTTGTACCAAACTTTTAAACATACTTAACTTTAAAAGTTAACTTTGCTTGACTGTACAGTTATTGGACCATGTTTTAACCCACACCTTATCGTGCACACACACACACGCACAAATGAAGTCACATATTAAAAGAGATGCATTAATAATAATAAATTTTAGTTTATTGCTTCAGTATGTTAGTCTCAGTTTTACACAAAACAAAACTGTAAACCTTAACTTCAGTATGTAATTTACTATAATTTTGGAGGAACCAAAACAAAAAAAGATACATATTTCTCTATCTCCTTTCACATATTATCAATGCCTTTACCTTGGGCTATTACGGAGTACTGATTATAACCTTCTAAGTTGTTACAAAGTAATATAAACATTTTGAAGTTTAAAGTGACTTCCCTTTTTCAACTAACTAAAGAAACTTAGTGACTTCCTGTATCTATTACCATTTTCTGTTGAGCCATCTGAAGAAGTTTGTAAAAGTTCCCATTGTTCCTTCTTTAAACTGTAAGCAGGTATCTACAAAAGGAAAATAAGTTACCCAGTAAGTATTTTAATAAAACAAATGCTCTTTTAACTACCTTATTAAGTTTTAGAGGCACAATGCTCTGACAATTAAATACGTTTACTTGAGACAACATTTGAAAATTCAGCATACTTAAATGTGATTTCCAAGCACGTGGTAGCAATTCCAATAGAGGTTTAGTAATTTTGATATTATGTGTTTCCTAGTTGCTTTTATTTTAAGATGTGATACTTGCCATTAAAGCCGTACGTGCTTCATTTTAGATATAGACATGAAATTGCAGTTGATGACGAACGAGTATACGTGTTTGGTGGAGGAACAGCAACTTGCAGTTTTGACCTTGAGAAAGTTAGTAGGAACAGTATTAATTTTGTACTTATTTTAAGTGTTATAAGAGTAAACTGTTCTGTAATTAAGTTGTACTCTATTCTTTCTGTAATTATATTGTCAGTAACACTATTGGTTAGAATGTTTAATATATCAATTTTTATTATTATATTTTTAGTATAAAGAATAGTTTTCCTCATTAACTTAATATATGGATTTAGGACTAACCCTAAACCTCAAACTGTTAACAGCAAAGATTACCTAATTGAAGAAACAGTTCATTTTCATTATTATAAGTATTAACATAAGATAAATATATTTAGTTGCATATTTTCATTAATGTATTTACTTTTAGTTCTGATCATTTATATAGTCTACTTTGATCACAACTTAATATTAAGAACCAAAATCTAATATAACACTATTAATTTTAAGATAAGTGATACTTTCCACGTAAAAATCCCACAGAACAAACAAACAAAAAGCAACTAGGAAACACATAACATCAAAATTACTAAACCTCTATTGTGTTTGTTTGTTCTGTGGGATTTTTACGTGGAAAGTATCACTTATCTTAAAATAATAGCAATTAGGAAACACATAATATCAAAATTACTAAACCTCTATTGTGTTTGTTCTGTGGGATTTTTACATGGAAAGTATCACTTATCTTAAAATAAAAGCAACTAGGAAACACATAATATCAAAATTACTAAACCTCTGTTGTTTTTGTTTGTTTTGTGTGATTTCAGGTTTCCTAATGAATATGTAACTTTTTTTTATCTCATATGAATTTGTTACGAACGTTTAGAAGTTTCTTGTGAAAAGTTGCACAAACATGGATGGGTGCAGAAAACTTTGCAAATACTGAAAATTTCTGAGTATTGACAAGAGTCTTCCTTCAACTTTGCCAACATGCACACAATCATAACCATTAGTAGATTTGTGGAATGAATCACTGTGAAGGTGAGTAATTGTATTGAAAAGATGACTCAAGCATCAAATGAAACAAAACATGCCAGTTGAAACAATTTTGAAACTTTGTTTTCTTTCTGTAAACCTTTTTTTTTACTGCTTCAATTCTGTCCAAAGACACTAATTAGAATTTCAATACCCAATATGCTATTTTCAGGCAAGTGGTAAAAAATCACTCACCATACTATTTTCAGGAGAGTGGTAAAAATCACTCATCATACTATTTTCAGTC